AAAAAATACTATGGAATATGCTCACAATTTGTTTTCAATGTAATTTATTTGGAATAGTCTTCAATAAATGTTTTTCTCATTTACTCAAGTCCTTTGTTTGCTTCTCCGTTTGTTTTTCTCTTTCTACCAGAGAGGGGGGAAGGGTGGAAGGTACTTAGGGGTGGAAGGTACTTATCGAATTTGCAACTGCAACGACCAGGTGATAACATTAACACCTCTTGGAAGGGGAGGGGGGTCTGCAGGAGAAGTGAAAATTTCCAGGACTTCTAGTGCTAAATAGTTAAGTTGAAAGGTAAATAAATGTAAATAAAGAATTCAAGTTTATCAATATATCGACAATATAGTGTAATATATAATATATTGGCTGTTTTTTTTTGTTATTTTTTGTAAGATTTTACGTTTTCAATAAAAGACGCCTGTTAGAAGTTATGGATTTATTAAAAAAGATGCAAGTAAATACACGCGCTTTTATCATATCAAAGTGTCTGATCAAACAAACTCTCCGTCGTTGGACGTTCACAGTGGTTGACCTGCTGCACCGACACAGTTAATGTTCAAGTAGGAAGAAATTATAAAAGAAAATTAAATAATAATAAAAAAAAACACCCGCTGTTTTTCATTTTATTTTATTGTCTTTTTTCTCTCTAACGCAAAACATTATAATCCTCAGCCTGGGAAGTGTCGGGAACGAGCATTTTACGTGGATGCGCATTTGCCTTCGTCGTTTCGGCAACCTCCGGCTTGGACCGTAAATACACGGAAAGGGCCGAGCGGCAGCGGAGCTGTCCGGAACATCCGGCCGTGGCTTCTGAACATAAACAGCTATGGCGGAGGCAGCAGCAGCGTCTGTGGCGGCTTCGGGAGTGATAGGAGGTTGGACCAAACACGTAACCTGCAGGTAAGTCACTACAGACGACAGTAAATGTCCGTCGTGGTCGATTTGACGGTTCGTATCGTGTGTCAGTGTGTTTTTTTCGGTGACAGCATCTGACAGCAGCTCCTCTCAGGCTCCACTCAGCTGTTGTTTAGCTAGCTGCGTTTTTTTTGTCGCCACTGTGCGATGGATGTTTTCTTGTTGTGGTCTGCGGTGAAAGCAGCGAGCGTTTACTCTCAGCCGCTGCCGTTTTGAGTGGTTGTCACGGCAGCCGTAACGTCCGCGGGACGCCGTGTCTGTCTAACGCAGGTGCCTTCGCGTATCAACAGCTCGTGTTTACGTTATATTATTACCGTATATTTCACAACAGTTTACAGCACCTGTCTGGCGCCTCTTTCGGACGACGTTAACGTAACGTCCCGAGAAGAAGTGGCTGTTGACACCGTGCTAAGATTAGCAGTTCGGCTGTTACTGAAAGTGAACGACGACAGCTGGAGACGTTACTGCGATGCAGAGGCGTTAAAGTGGGATTTAAGGTCCCTCGGCGAATGGCCCCCACTCCCCGATGAGTACTACCATGGAGGAGAGAGTACACACAGCAAATATTCAACAATACTAACATTAGCATATCCCTCGACAAATATTATTTTCAAAGTAAGACGACATTGACCAGACTATTGAAGGACAATCAGTACCAGTTGGCCAACATGTGTTTATTCACATGTCAAGTCCCTGGTACTAATCAGAACTAGTGGTAGGATGATTTTTTTTTTTATTATTCAAATGACATCCGATCAATGACTGAACCAATAAAAACACAACATCAAAGACGAAAAAATGTTCTAATCTACGTGTTGTTGGACTGCTATAGCTAACTCCAACGCTAGCTAGCAGTAGCGCCTGTGCTCGCAGCGTCGTGGTTTGTGTCGGTGTCGGGCTGATACGCCGAGCTAACAGGGCTGCGACTGGAGACGGAAAAGTGGTTGAGAACCAATCTTGTGAATCACAGACTGCCCTTCGTCTTGATCTTGGTATTGTTGCTGTAGCAAACGTCGTAAACACCGAACCAGTGACGATGTCGGTCCCTGACCCTCCAGACGTCCGTGAGGTTCCATCTAAAGATGGGCGCGTTGACGTTGCTCTTGAACCAAGTTGCTAACCAATTTTGCCCCTTTGCAGGTATTTCATGCACGGTCTCTGCAAGGAAGGAGAGAACTGCCGGTATTCCCACGATCTGGCTAGCAGCAAACCCGCAGCCATGCTTTGCAAGTTCTTCCAAAAGGGAAACTGTGTGTTCGGAGAGCGCTGCAGGTGAGGAACCGTTTCAAAAACTCACGGCCGGTCGGAGGGGGTTGCCCTGAGTTGACTCACCGAAAGTCACAATCTGGAAATTTGAGTCCGGCCGTCACTTAAGCACTTTGTTGTGAAGCTGTGGTCACATGACCTCTCAGTGACAGAGGCGCCCTGGGCTCCTCTGATGTCACTGAAAATAAAGCCTTCAGTCGTTCATAAAGTCTTCTTAAAAAAATCCACTGAACCACAGCGTTCACACAGACGTAAAAACATCACAGCTCCGTTTAGATTTGTTTTTGTGGGATTTTGTTGAGGGGGGGTTTGGTGTGGGGGGGGGGGAGCTGAGCCCCGCTCTCTTTTCACATCAAAACCAAACCAAATCTGTGACGTCTCCTCCCGTTGACCCGTGGCTGCAGCTGCGGTTCTACAACGGTTGTTGTGAATGGACTCGCCGTCGCCGCCGCCGTCGGTCGTTAAACGGACGAGCGTCGCCCAGACAGCAGCCGTCAGCTGCCACAGACACTGTCTGCTCCTCGTCTGGCTTCCAGTGCATCTCCATAGTTACCGCGGCGCTTACAGCAGCCGTCAGCGACATCAAAGGACGTGCGTTAGACACACACACACACACACACACACGCACACACACACACACCGAGGTTTGTGTGTGTTGGTGTTTCAGTAGAGAAGTCACTGATGAGTCACATTCCTTCACGGCTGTGATG